TCTCTTCCATGGGGAGTGTCGACCCAAGACACGTAAAGTGCTGCCTTAGGGCCGGTTCACATATCGCGTCTTTTGCGCGCTCAAGTTCGTTATTTCAAATGTAGGCGCGCGGTATGCGCGCTCATAATGGAAGCGACGCGGTCGCGGTGCGACGCGCTCCTTTTTTCCATGCGCGTCCGCGCCGCGTCGAGATAAAAACATCTCAACTTTTCAGAATACCGCAAGCGCACTGTACGCACACAATAGGTCATGTGACAAGAACCAACTGAAGCGCAACCGCCCTGGCGCTTTGCAAAATAGAGAATGCGGCGCGCCCAGCGTTTTCTACGCGTTTTTAGGCGCTATATGTGAATCCGGCCTTATTGGACCATATTCAAATGGCTGAGGGTGGAAATATGCTAATACAGGACAGTCCGTCAGTGGTCGTGGGTGGAGCATTAGCAACAGAAACCTGCAGAAACCATGATGATAATGATGCTGTTTCATACGGCTATACTTGACAACTGCTCTCTCTGGGTCCACGTCAGAGCCAGTGCATATTTGAATGTTCACTGTGAATGTACTTGTCAAAGGTTTAATAGACTCCTCTAGGACCTGGGATGCCTCATATTTAAGCACAAATGTTTCCATCTCAGATGTGAATTAAATTCAGTCTGGATTTAGGAGACCATGTCAGTGCTGCATCTTGTGCTTTGCTTTAGGCTAAATTGGGTCTGTGGGCTTCAAATTCAGGATGAATGAGTTTGGGTTCATTGCTGAGTATTTAGCTGCCTTGGGCTGTTTCTACCACCCACCTTGAGTCAGCTGCTTGTCCTTCTGGAAGACATCTTCTGAGGGTTTTACTTCCCTTTTGGCAGGCTACAGAACAGGAGCAGTCATCAAGATCCAGTTTAGAATATGGCTTTGCTAATGTTTCCAAGCATCTTACATTTGGAGAAGGATATTTCATCATCTTGACCTTTAATAAAATACCTTAAGATTTTTGTTTTGCTCAATTTATGCTCTCTAATTTGAAATGAATGCCTGTTTTGTCTTCATAAGTTTCACCGTCAATTTGGTACTTGCGTTTCAGATGGCGCACGTACAGCGAATAGATTTCTCTTTCTCATCTCCATGCATGTCTTAAGTGTTTTTAAAGAAATTTAATGTGTTTAAATTTCTTTATATTTAAAAAATCTTTATATTGGATCCGGGCATTCGGTCTTAAAGTGACAGCAACCTATAAATACCTGCTGCTTTCTGTCATTTAATGTTAATCTAACAACAGAGCACTTCTTTAACAAAGATTAATCTATATTTAATTTATATTGTGAACACTAGGTGTCATTTTACGTTTAGGCCTAATTATTACGTCTTTACCTGAATACACTACAGTTAAACATTATTTGCAACTTTGTTATGCTGTATTTATCTTTGCTTGTAATTAGTGCATTTAATCTTATTTAATTTATTTTTTTACTGACTATTCACTTGAGAGATTTCTGTCCCTCCACTGACGGTCTACACAACTACCACTTTGATGATTCAAAAAGTTCATAATGAGATTGTAAAATAAATTCATTATGAATTGAGTGATTTAATGTCAATGGAGGGACTGAAATCCCTCATATTTCATTAACATTATCTTCATTTGTGTTCTGAAGATGGTTGAAAGTCTTATGGGTTTAAAACAACATTAAGGTCGATGACAGAATTTTGACAGATGACAGAAGCAGTGATTTTCAAATAGGGATCCAGGGCTCATTACGGGGTCTCTGCAAACTTCCAGGGGTGCCCAATAAGTACAATATATTACTAAAACACAAAAAAATACTCAATATAAAGATGTACGACATTAAACTGACATCATAGGTTTGAGCTTATACATTTCAGAAGGGGTAGTAGAACCTTTTGAATATTGTCTTGGACAAAGGGAAAAAGGAGTCATAATGGTTAAGAACTACTAAACTAAAGTCAACCAATGAAAGGGTTTAAAGGTCCACATTCCGAGAGCTTGGTTTTTGAGAAATGTATCCTGTCCAGAACCATGGACTCATTTCCACTAGTTTGGTTTTTCTTTATTATTATATTACTATGAACTAGTTAAATTTGTTATAAGTAACTATTTTTCATATATTTATTTTGTGTCCCTACAGACACGATAACCAACTCTCAGGGTGCCTACCAGGATGCGTTTGACATCAGTAAGAAGGAGATGCAGCCCACACACCCCATCCGCCTGGGACTGGCTCTCAACTTCTCTGTCTTCTTCTATGAGATCCTCAACTCTCCTGAGCAGGCCTGCGCTCTGGCCAAACAAGTAGGATTTTTAGTTGATGGCACCTTTTTTTTCTTTTTTTTTCCACTAAATTGATTCATGAGGCAGTTATATTATATTTGAGAGGTTTCTGTCGCTCAATTGAAAGTCCAGGTATTTAAAATTGGGAAGATCTAAAAAGGTTATAAGGTCCATAAAGAATCCAATTGACTGGATTAATCCAAAGATGCAATCACTTTATTGGATAAGCTGATTTAATTTAGGCTTTTATTTACATCTAAACCATGATTGACATACATAGCTCATTGCATTTGGTAAATACAGAAGGTAAAATATGCGAGCATGATGTGTGAAAAACAATGGTGTGTTTTAGTGTGATGTGTAAATAATGTCATAAATTCAAGCAAAAGAAGTATCTCAGGCTTCATTAAAAATGTTTAAAAGTTTTTATTTGTGGATAAATAATAACCCCCCCCCCTCCCCCCCAACATATCAGCTTCTAGCTTGATCAATAATACGAGTTTGGGGTTGGACTACCTGTAATATGCTGTTTAGCAGGAAATTTTTAATAAACAATGTCAGAAGAGATTGTGGGCAATTTATTTTAAACTTTTTTTTTAGGTGGTGGTAGTTATTCACCTTTTACTCAGTGAAGGGGAAATTCCTATTGAAAATCTACCCACTTGTCCTTCTAGATTTTTACACTTACCTCAAGCTTTGAATTTCATCAGGCACGTGGTTCAAATACCAGGGGTATGACTTGACTGTTCGTTCACATTCCTCAAATTAGTGTGGCCTTGTGCTTGCAGGCATTTGATGAAGCCATTGCAGAGCTGGATACACTGAACGAAGACTCGTACAAAGACAGCACCCTTATCATGCAGCTGCTTCGAGACAACCTCACAGTGAGTTACAAACAAAGTCATACTGACCTACAAAATAGTCTTCTCTGAGACTGTGGAATGTAGATTATATTACACAAGTTATTACAATCATTTATATTTACTGTGCAAAATATAGATATTCAGTATTCAAGCACACATTTGTCCTTTTTTTTTTTTTATCAGTTATGGACCTCTGACAACGCTGCAGATGAGGGTGAAGGAGGAGACGGAGAGAACTAAACGCACATCCCTGGATAAAGACAACTTTTTACACTTCTTCATTCCTTATTGTTTCATTTATGATTATTCTAGCCATGTTAAAGCCCATGATCTTTACCAATGAGCTGTGAGTGTGGGAATTCCAATCCGTCTGTTTTTTTTTTTTCTCTCTCTCTCTCCATTTTCCACCACTTGGCTTGTGGTTGTACTGAAAGTAAATATTGAGTTAAAGTAACATCTCCATTCCTCAATTTTGTGTTTTCGTCCTTTGGCCTTCTTTATGTGCAGTGTCTGCTGTAGAAAAGTATTAGCCTCACATAAAAACAATCGTCCTTTAATTGTGACAGCGAATAGTGTGTATATTCTGGTAAACTGAAATATTGGAAGCGTCGGTCACAAAATGCAGAGCGTTTTGCCTCAAGCATGGCTAGTTCCTGTCCTGCTATATCACTTTCCATTTGTACGTCTCTAGGGAAATCAACATACACTTGAATGAGATAAATGTGTTGTTGACTGTCATAGTGTTGGCTTAAAAGGGGCCTGTACTTTAGTATTGATAGCAAGAAGGCTGTTTTCTGATGTACCAAGTCAGCTAGCATTGCTCAGCCAAGTATGCACTTTTCATTGACCATTTGAATCATGTCTTCATCTCGAAGGTCACGAAACACTCCTGCCTGGTTATGGTTTTCACTTTAATGTGTTACCTTGCAATGGCTTGTGATGATAAAAAAAACAAAACGACAACAACAAAAAAAAAAAAAGATATCATGCATGGCATGCCCATTTTTCAATATACACTGGAATGGGAACCAATACTGCATACATGTTCCACAGTTTGGTTAAGTACTTTTCATTGCAGGTTTATGCACATGTTGAGAGGATGTTTAATTTGTCAAGTGATGTCAATAGTTATTTGGACCACCGTTGTGTTTTTGCTAATCATTGACTGTAGTCCCCCAAAGCCTTGTGAAAATGTACAAGCCCTACATAACAGCTATGTAACCTGAATTAAAATGACCATTTTATAAACCATACAGTTTTGTCTTGAAATTTGTTTTATCTCAGTCTTTCCTGGTGATATGAAAATAAATACAATTTCTTTGACTTTTGAAATGGGAAGTGTATGTGTTTCCCTTATTTTGTGACCACATGTCTAATGATAATCAAAATAGTTTAATTCTAGAATACAAATGATTGGTTAAAATGTCTGAGTGCAGGATGTTATCAGTTTGTTTTGGTCAATTTTCCAGAAAAGGGAACGATACATGATGGTTAACTATAAATATTACAGGACAATTCTGCGAGTTTCTCCTTCACACGTTCAATTATAGATGGTTTAACAGCTCTTTGAAAATAATTACTTGTACAAATTAATTAAATGCTTTGAGTATGTGATAATGGCTCCCCTAAATAAAAGATTTTCAGCTGCTTGTATAACCTACTGTCCTCCAAATGAGCCTATAGACGCTAGGCTGAATTCCATGAGGTTTGAGGTAACTATTTAAAAATAGAGTCTGAGCGAGACTGTTCTCAAAACTTAGTGAGCTGTCTATCTAGACGCACGTTCACCCGTATGCGTCGCCCACTAAATACGGTCTAGGTAGACGGCTCACTGGTTTTTGAGCACAGCCCGAGAGTTTATCCACTTACGTAACGCGGATACACTCTCTAAAACCCATTTAAAATACTCTGCGTACTGTCACGCGTGAATTTAAAACCAACCGCCCTTCAAATCAGTGTTTTGATAACGCCTTCAACACGAACTGTAGATAAAGTTAATAGTGATTTCCTGGCGCGAGTGAATGTGAACCGCACCATCCATCCCAAATTAAATACTTCCGGGTATTTCATTACTCTCAGATGTTGGCATGATTTCGTTTTGAGTGAATCTTTTTCTTTATAACATCAAGCGACATGGACGAGAGCGTTTTGAAGTGAGCGTGTTTTTGTTCTTATTTGATACTTTGTGGCTTTGTTTTATCCAGCCAGATGTGAGCGTGTACGTTTGGCCATGTCCAGATGTTGATCTCAGGCAGAGTAATCCACGGGATTAAATGCTGTTTCTATGTGAAGAACTGTATGCTGCATTAACGTGCTCGCCATGAAACACATCGTTTTCTTTCTGGCGTCTTTATTCCTGACGGAGTGTTCAAGGAGACCCATTCGGGATGTCCTAGACGACGAGTACGGTGAGTTTTAATACGAATAGGAATACTTTGAAAACATTATGGATACATTTGAATCGATAGAGTGTGCTTTTCGATTACACTATCATAATAGTGTTTTTTCCTTTCTTTTTCAAATACCTTACTGTATTTTCAGGTCTCATATCTACTCTTTGCCATTGAATTTAATGATTTTGACCAAACATTTTGTGAAGAAGCTCAATTGCAAAGAAGAGTGTATAATGGCTCCAGCCTTTTCACTAAAATTCCATCCTTTTTTAGTGGTATAGGTAGTGGTTGTAAAAACTGACTACTAAACAAAAATATAAACAAAAAGTTAAAATCGAATGTATCTTACTCTGCAGAAAAAAAATGTCCATTTAATTAGCCTTTTTTCTTTCTTTGTTAACTAAAATCACGAAACAAGACATGGACTGGAGTTCTGAGGGAGTGGAACGGATTGAGAGAGTTTGTTTCCTAAGATTTCTTATAGAAAAGTAAGAATTGCGAGATGTACTGAGGAAAAAAGGAGATATAGAAAGACTCTGAATTGAGTCATAAGATCACAATCCACACTTTCTCAGAATTGTGATCGTATGACACAATTCAGATTTTCTCACAATTCTGACTTTTCCCCTCTGAATTCTGAATTTACATCTCTAAGCTTGCAGTTCTGAGATAAAAACTCAGAATTGTAAGATGTTAACTCAAGATTGTGGTATATAAACCCAGAATTATGATAAATAAAGAATTGTATATTATAAACTTGCAATTCTGAGAAAATCACAAATTGTGAGAAATAAAAACGGAATTGCCAGATAAAAGTTTTTTCCACAGTTGAGAGAAACCCATTTTAATGATTACGGAAAAAGAAAACACAGACTCTCCAAGTCCTTCCAACTGCTCCTTGACACCTGTAATTTCACTTTAAAATGAATTGGTCCTAATTCAGTAATATGTATAAAGTTGTTCACTGTGACTTTTTCAGACCAGCTCAGCTCATTGCTGTCAGACTTTGATGTTCTTCAGCAGTCCAGTCTTCAACAGCATTCGGTTCGCAAGAGAGATGTCCAGTCACAAACACACGCAGAGAGGTTTCTCGGTTTCACTGCGTTACAGAGGTGAATACTCATCACCCATGTACCATGACACACGGTCACCGCCAAGATTAGGTCTCGGTCAATTCATAAGCTCTCCTAAATATTTCCCAGGCATTTCAAATTGTACCTGGCAACCAACACAGAGCTCTTCACTCATGACTTTAAGGCTGTGGTAGTAGGAGAAGATGGCGCTCAAAAGACGTACGAGGTCCAGAGAGAAAACTTCTTCATCGGTCATGTCATTGGTAACTTCAACTCTAAGTCTTAAAAATTAGGTTCTAGCAAATTTAATTTGCAGCTAACATTGTTTTTTTCCCTTCATTTCTAGGAGAGGAGAATTCCCGCGTACAAGCGCATATCGGTGTCAATGACTTCACTGCTCATATTCTTACTGATGAAGCCGAATACAATATTGAGGTATTATAACACCACCAATCTAATGATGATGCCACTCAGCAAAGAGAATACGGTGATTGTTTTCCCATTCATCTGGTTTCTGCAGCCCCTGTGGAGGTTTATCGAAGACTCGCATGATGATCGACTGCTCGTATATCGCTCTGAAGACATCAGGAACGTGAGCCGGTTGGCGGCTTCAAAAGTGTGCGGCTACATCAGCACAGATGCCATGGAGATGCTGCCAGAGAGTGTGCGGGCTGCCAGAGCACTAGATAAAGGGGAAAGGGAGGAGGATGGTAAGACTTTGAGTTCATTTGTATATGTTTAACATGTCAAAACTGGTTATTAAATCCTGAAAACTCATTCTATGGCTCTCTGTCACAACACAACTGGTTTAAATGAGACTTCTCCTGCTCATCTGAGATAGATCTAGAGAGTGTAATGTGAGATGCCACTTTATATAGTTTGTCACCCATGTATTATGTCTCTCACATTCTCAACCCTTTGTCTATTTTTGCCATCTTTTTCACTCCATTGCATCTGTTCCACACAGGGCACCTGAGAGAGAGAAGACAGACCCCAGACCACAGTAAGAACACCTGCCCTCTGCTGCTTGTGGCCGACTATCGTTTTTTCAGGCACATGGGCCGTGAGGAGGAGAGCACCACCCTCAACTACCTGGTAAATAGAGTGCCGAAGTTACGATGTCACTTTGTAGGCCAAAACGTGGAAGTGAGTTAGCATTTTAGCACTCCCGGTTCCCTCACTCTAAAGTCTATGAGATTTTTGAATGTTTTTTTTTGCTAAATCGCCTGAAATAAGTTCTGTGGTGAACAAAGCCACTAAATATTTTCACGTTTTGATCTATGACATAAAACACACAGTTATAACCTGCTTGTGGTTTTTTAAACTTTATTGTGTCGGCTTGTGTTTTTTAAAAACTTTATATAGGCTTCAAAATGGATACATTTTTGGAATTAACTTGTAAAGATTATCTTGATTAACAAAGAGTTGTGACTCTTACACGTTTTGTCTAACACAGATCTTATTTTTTGCGATTTTCCAAAAGTCTATGGGGAAAATGCATAGCTTTTCGATCGAGGGAACCCATGTGCCGCTAACATTTTGAGTTGTCCTACAAAATGACGTCATCACTTCGGCACTCTATAAGAAGTCTTCAGTTTTGATATTGTCATTTGCCCTTTTCAGGAAACACACAAACACATTTCTGCATAAATTGAGCATAAAATCATTCTGATGCAAACAGTCACATTCATTTCAATAGGACAGTGCTTATTAGATCAGTGTTTCTCAACCATTTTGACTCCAATTTATAATTTTTTAAGATATAATGTTTTTGTGCTTTACATACTGTATACTTCCAGTCAAAAGTTTGGGGGTTTATAAGATTTTTTTAAATGAATACTTTTATTTAGCAAGGAGGCATTAAATTGGTCAAAAGTGACAGGAAAGACGTTTATAATGCTACAAAATATTTTATTTAAAATAAATGCTTTTCTTTTTAAACTTTCTATTCACAAAAGAATCCTAAATAAACAACAACAACAAAAAAATACCAGGGTTTTCAACATTGACATTTTTTTTGAGCACCAAATCAACATAATAGAATGATTTCTGAAGGATCATGTGACACTGAATACTGCAGTAATGAGGCTGAAAATTCAGCTTTGCGATCACAGGAATAAATTACATTTTTATTTTTCAATTTTTAAAAAAATATATATTCAAATAGAAAACAGTTAATTTAAAAAGTCTTACTGACCCCAAACTTTTGATCAGTATTGGAATGAAAATTTCAAAATAATTTTAAGTCATTTTGTTGCCCTCCTGTATGTTTGCTGAGGCCCAAATTTGTTTTTTACACAATTTTTTTGTCATCTGAGAAGAAGGTTGTATTAAGTTGTTGGCAGCATGTGTCTTACAAATATGCCTTGGATGTGTTTAGATTGAGCTGATTGATCGTGTGGATGACATTTACCGTAATACGTCTTGGAATGAGGAGTATAAAGGTTATGGAGTTCAGATTCAGCAGGTAAGCATGGTTCTGTGAGGAGATCAAGATGAAGAATTCCAATGAAATGCTATTTTGGAGCCAGCAACAAGCATTTATTTTTTTTTCAGATCATAATTAACAAGACACCCACTAAAGTTTTGCTGGGAGGTGCCCACTTCAACATGAAAGGGACTCCTGTGAAGAACAAGCATGTCTGGGACGTCAAGAAGCTCCTGGAGGTGAGCGAGCTGGAACTGTGGGAGTCTCGCAAATGACTGAATTAATGAGAGCGTCCTTTCTGTATTCTGAGCTGTGCAGATTTGAAACGATGAGATACGTCTCTATTTGAATGTGAAAAATATTGAGGACTTGTGTATTGTTTCATTATCCAACTCTGTTTGGCAGAGAACCAACAAAGAGAAAGAACAAGCCATGGAAACATTATTAGTGCAGTTCAATTTGTAGTTCTAAAACTATAAAGGAGAATTAGCATCTTCCAGCCATTTTACTTTTTGTTTTAAAGAGACTACTAGGTTTTGTCCTACAACACAAATTACCCATAGTCATACCTCTAATGTGAATTTTGAACTGTTGAGTGATTTGAAAAGATACTCTACTGTTGGTAAAATGTTATGATTTTGAAAGAAGTCTCTTATGCTCACCAAGGCTGCTTTTTTTTCCAAAATAAATATACTTACAATTTAAAATACCGGTTTTAATATCCTTTATTTTAATATTTAACACAGTTTAATTTATTCCTTTGATGGCAACACTGAATTTTCAGCCTCATTACTGCAGTATTCAATGTCACATGATCCTTCTGAAATCATTTGAATATTCTAATGGGCTTTATGCAAAGCTGCATTACTTCCTGAACCTCAGCCAGCTCCTTTGCTTCCTGTCTCCCATTATTGGACAAACTGATTAATCCAGGTGTGCCTGACCTCAGTTGTTAGAACAACAATGATCAGACACACCTGGATTAATCAGTTTGTCCAATAATGGCAGACAGGAAACAAAGGAGCTGGCTGAAGTTCAGGAAGTAGTGCAGCTGTGCATAAAGCCAATTTGGTGCTCAAGAAACATTTCTTATTATTTTCAAAGTTGAAAACAGTTGTGCTGCTTAATATTTTTGTGGATACATTTTAGGATGAAAAGAACATCATTTATTTGAAACAGAAAACACTATTAGTGTCTTTACTGTCATGTTTGATCATTTTAATGCATCCTTGCTGAATAAAAGTCGTTGCTACATAAGTTACAATGATATTCTATTTCGTCATAAATAGGAAAGCAAGCCAAAAACAAACAAAATGCTTTAGAAATTCATAAGTGCACTTGGGGTACCTTATTGGTTGCGAATAAACAGCTGTCGATAATTGTAGTAAAAATGGTCATTTTGTCTTCTTCCTGCAGCAATTTAGCATTGACATCGCAGATAATGCATCCCAAGTGTGCTTGGCTCATCTGTTCACATATCAGGATTTTGATGAAGGGACACTCGGCTTGGCTTACGTGGCTCCCTCCAAAGCAGGCTTTCCTGGAGGTCTTTGCTCTGAAAGTGAGTGTAAATACCACATCATGGATAAATCAATTTGGTCTTACATATTCCTCATGCTTAGTCATTTTGTTTATTGTTGTTATCTGTCTTCCTTAAGAGTGTCCTTCTTCAGGAAATGACAATCGTGCTATATACCTCAACACTGGACTAACCAGCACCAAAAATTATGGAAAAACCATTCTCACCAAGGCAAGTGAAGTCCAAACAAATGTTCTTGTCGCTTTTATTTTAGTAAGCTAATTTTCTTACGATATACCAACAGGAAGCTGATTTGGTTACAACTCATGAGCTTGGCCACAACTTTGGTGCTATTCATGATCCAGATACTTCACCGGACTGCACGCCCAGAGAGGATCAGGGGGGCAAATACGTAATGTACCCCATTGCAGTGAGTGGGGACCACTCTAACAATAAAGTACGTCCTTCGCCGATATGAATTCAACTGTCATTGTTCACAACGTCACGTGATCAGTTTGTAAGTGTTTTGTTTTGGTGCTCCGCTATAGTTGTTTTCAAACTGCAGCAAGAGATCCATAGTAAAGAGTCTGACCCTCAAGGCCCCCGCCTGCTTCAGAGAGAGGAACAGCAATGTGTGCGGAAACTCACGGGTGGAGGTAGGCGAGGAGTGTGATCCTGGACTGCTCCACCTCAACAGCGACCGCTGCTGCACGTCAGACTGCAAACTTCGGCCCAATGTGGAGTGCAGGTACAGCTCCTCCATGTGGCCTCATGCAAAAAATGTTGATTCAGATATGGTGTATTAAAGAGACGGTTCACCCAAAAATGATCTCAGGGCAGTTTATATGTCAGTTTCTGTCTTTTTTTCCTTGACTCTAGTGACAGGAACAGTGCGTGCTGCAAAGACTGCATGTTTGAGAGGAAGGGCAAGGTGTGTCAGGAGCCGATGAATGCCACTTGCAAGGGAAGGTCTTACTGTACAGGTGAGGCATCAGTGGTATTTATTTTTATATTTTAAGTCTTCATTTTCATTTTTGAATAAGTTTTAGTACTTTTGTTATGTGCATTTGTCATTTTTATTAGTTTTAGCAAAATTTTTCAAGTTTATTTTATTATTATTATTTTTTAGTTTATTTCAATTACAACAATTCGATCAACATTAGTTTTTGTCTTCAATTTGGCATTAGTATACAATAACAACACGGCAATTATGTTTTATTATTTTAAAAAGCACTTTAATTTTTTACAGATTTTTATAATATTTTGCTTTGTGACACAATGCAAAAAACAAACAAACAAACAAAAAAAAAACATTACTGAAATTCAAAGAAATTACGCCTTAATGGTTTATGGTTGTCATCTGAGATTGTATGATATAATGAGAATCACTACTGAGGTAAATAGAAATTACTAAAGATTTTGGAAGTAAAATATCCATATGGATTATAGTAATAAGAAATTTAGCTTAAATGTCACGGGAAACAATGCTGAAAGGCTAAAAATCTGTTAAAATTAGACTTCATTTTCTTTCTGCAAAATTCTATGCGGATGAGCTTTAACTGCATAGCCCTTGTCCGCACTCAAACTCTATTCTTCTGTGCTTCTTACAGGACTCAGCAGTGCATGCCCTCCTCCAGAGAACGTCCCTAATAAGACCATCTGTGTGGACAATGGGCGGTGTCTGAACGGAGATTGCATCCCATTCTGTGAAGCTGTGAAGAGCCTGCAGTCGTGTGCTTGCAATGGTAAACTGAGCTTCTGATAAAGCTATTTATGTTTGTATATGGCAACAGTTTTTAAAGTCTGTATTGAGGAGACTTTCCCTTTTTACTCTTCTTCCTGCATGTCATTTTCAGAGACGAACAACTCTTGTAAGGTGTGCTGCAAGGATAAGAATGCGGTGTGCACTCCTTATATTGATGACAAGGGCAACCCCATCTTTCTGCGGAAAGGCAAACCCTGCACTGTGGGCTTTTGTGATGGAGCGGTGAGTGGCAGTGTTCACAACATACACTTTTACAGAAGCTTTTACAGATTTTTTACAGAAGCTGTTGATTATTCGCAGCTAAATTGCAGTAGTTCACAAGACAATTGTAAAGTAAATGGTTTAGGTTCAGTTATTCAAAAATATGTTCTTATTCCTTTCAGGGTAAATGCATGAAACAGGTCCAGGATGTTATTGAGAGATTGTGGGATTTCATTGAGAAGTTGGATATCAATACTTTTGGTAAGTTATCTGTGAACACTGTGATGTCATCTTACTTGAAACCAATGGAGGATAGGAGATCTGCGTATGTGTCCTCAGGGAAGTTCCTGGCAGACAACATTGTTGGCTCAGTGGTGGTGTTCTCACTTCTTTTCTGGATCCCGCTCAGCATTCTGGTCCATTGTGTGGTGAGTCATCTCCACTAACATCTTACAGTTTGTTGTAGGTTTTAGGAAATGTCTGGAACTATAATGGACTGACCTTGAGTTGTATTATGGTCTAAAGAACTGTTTACGGTGAGAGCAAAACAAAAAGTGAAATGAATATGTAGTTGTTATATATATATATATATATATATATATTAGGGCTGTAAAACGATTAATCGCATCCAAAATAAAAGTTTGTGTTTACATAATATATGTGGATGGATGCACTGTGTATAATTATTTTATATATATAAATACAGTACATACACATGCTTGTATATATTTAAGAAATATTTTCATGTATATACTGTATATATATTTTATATATAAATAATATTTCTTTCTTAATATACATGCATGTGTGTGTATACTGTGTGTATATATATATATATAAAAAATTATACACAATGCACCCATATATTATTTAATTTTGGATGCGATTAATCGCAATTAATCATTTGACAGCCCTAATATATATATATATATATATATATATAATCATAGACTAAATGTATTTTGACACCCAGAGCAAAGGGAAAAAAATTACAGGCCAAAAGTTTATTTATATTTTAGGTATTTTTAATATATTTAAAGTATTTAATGGTTTATAATGACACTCTTAGTAGAGTCATTCAGGGTTCTTAGAAGACAATCCTTTTGATGATGGAAAAGATAATTATCAATAATGACAAAGGCCCCATCCAAGAAATAAAAGTGATTTTTACAAGATTTCTGTCTCTTCATTAGGATAAAAAACTTGACCAGCAATATGAATTTAACACAAAGCCACTCTTCTACCCCAGTGTAAGTACACAGCAGAACACAGAAAAAGTCATTTTTCTTTTGATAATAGGAAGCGTAACAAATGCCTGACTGTGTTTATGTGCTGTCCCAGAATGCAGAGCTGCTGAGCAGTCTAGAATCAGCCTCGGTGCGGATCATCAAACCGCCATCATCCTCAGGCTCCTCTGCGGTGCCACGCTTTCAGGCATCAGAACCCTTGCAGACCAGCACACCACCTGTCTCCATCTCCCAGGTGGCTCCAGCCATAAGCCCAACACCAACACCGTGTCCTTACCCCACCATGGAGCACCAACGCATGGCCACCATCCAAGAAGATCTCAGCTATGATTCCCACCTGGATGAACAAGCCCTGGGAGAGGACTTCCCGACCTCTGGCACAGTGTCACGCTCCTTTGATGATCTGACGGAGAACCGAGAGAATGCTATGTCCTTCAGGGTAAAGAGACATGCACACATTAACAGCAAGGAGACTGAATGTTAAGAGTATGATTGGATAGGAATTGTAAGGGAATATGCTCGGTGGTAATGCTCAAAGCTGAACAGAACAAGCATTACATATGCGCTGAAATGCAATGTGCTTGCCGCTCAAGTATTGAAAAAAACTAAAACAGAATGCAGTATGTTTTAAAGGCATAGTTCACAGAAAATTCACCCTCATGTCGTTCCAAACCTGTATGACTGGCTGACTTCTGTGGAGCTCAGGAGGAGAAAATCGTGAGGATGTGTTTGTCTCTTTTCCGAGGAATTAGAAGAGCACACAAAAGCACAAAGTACCTTAAAAGTGATACATATGACTTGTGCCCAATATTTCAAGTCTTTTTAAACCTCGATAAGATTGTAAATTTTTACTCTGCATGGTACAGTACTGAATAAAATATCTGTTACATCTGCTGCAACCGGATAGTTTTAATTGTCGAGTTAAACTTCAGTCCGATTCCTGAACAGATTATTGAGACTGATTTTGTGCACCAGAAGAACCATTAAATTCAAAATCCGATTCAAAAGGTTAATTTGTTCACTAACTGGAGATTGCTACTTCTTTCATGAAAACAATTCTTATAAAATGTGCCAGAGTGAAGAAAGGATTATCAGAGGAAAATGACTTAAATTTGACTCTGTTCCTCCACAAAGCTACCGAATAGCTTTAAAACACTTTCAATTAAGCAGCGGCACACATGTTGGGTCCATGTCCACCACTTTCATGCTTTTAAGGCGCAGATTCAGAAGAAAGTAAGTCATACATGTTTGGAAAGACATGAGTGTGAGTAAATGAGGACAGAATGTTTTAAGAGCACCGGTCTTTTATAAAGCAACACATGGCACAAATCATTCAGTGTCTAGGCATTACGTGGGAATTCAGTGTTGTTAATCCTGTTAGGATTCTGCAATATGCATTCATATTTACAGACGCACACACTCTCAACAGAGTAATCTACACGTGACCAGCTTCATTGTTAAAGCTTAACTACCCCATGCCAAGATGTTTACAGGTCTGTTTTTGTCTTAGGGATTGAGTAGATGCTAACAGATCTTGATAACCATTAACCATTACCTGTTATATTTTAGTTGATATTTTACTTGTATGTGTTCTGACACACCAGCAAATCATGTTTTGTAACCTCTACTGAGCACAATCGTTCTTGCTTTTTATTGTTTGCAAAAGACAATCGGATCTTTTAGAGGAATTTGATATTTTCAGGCATTATGTACTGTTCCTGAATGTAACAAAATGTTACAGTAATTTAAACAGTTGTACCAGCTGACATTATCCCATGGTTTCCCAGATAAGGCTTAAGGGATAGTTCACTTTGAAATTAATTTTTAGTATGTTTTAGCTTACCTCAAGGGCATCCAAGATGTAAGTGTCTTTGTTTCCGCACTAGTTTCAATTTTGATATTATTAGGTCAAACCGTTCTTGTCTGTCAGTCATATAATGGAGGTCTATGGTCACCACCTCAAAGAGCATGCACAGAGAAGTCCAAATTAGACATGATTTAATGACTCGTAAATGTAAGTACACATTGATCATGTTTAATTTGGATTTCTCTGTGCATGCTTCAGGTGGTGACCATAGACCTCCTGATAGACACGAACGGTTTGACCTAAAATATAAAAATACTGAGGAAACAAATTAATTTCAGGTATCCCTTTAAGCCTAGTCCCAGACTAAAAAGCATGTTTAAGCTGTTTTAACTGAAAGCAACTTGCACTGACTTATCTCAAAATGTACTTGTTTGGTTTATGAGAACAATTTTGGCTCTTTGGTGTTTTATGAAATACTAAGTCAAAAGTTAAATGAAAAGACAGGCAATCAGTTTTATCTCTCCACGTTATTATACTTTTCTGCGAAACCATGTTCATGACTGTAACTGTATGCAAGAATATGTATCTTGCAGCTGCTCCCATAAGAATGTACTGATGTTGAACACTGCTCTGAGATCAGTATCCAAAGTGCCTTGTATTTGTTTTTTTTATTCGTCTTGTGAAAGTATTTTACTCCCATGTGTTTTGCAATGCAATTTACAGGAAAACTCAAAAAGGGAGTGTGACGATGTCATTTATTGGTGGCTAAACAGTCATCTTTTTCTGAATTTTACTCATAACTGTAATCATCTTCTGGGAATGTATTTGTGTTGATCTTGTAGAATACAAAGCATACAAGTGTCATTTTTAAGTAGATCGTATCCCTTTATACATGGTTTATTTTTATTATCGGGTATCAAGTATTTTTTTCATGTTAAGAAATGTGCCCATAATAATTTGCATGGCTCCCCACTTTGTTGTGATGGGTCAAGAAAGAAAGTATTGAATGTTATGTGTTTTGTATCTGTGTTAGATTTAAATAACTTAATACTTTTTGACTTGGTGTTTTGCAAGTTTTCATTTTTAAATGAAACATCACCCTTAATGTAAGGTGTGTATTGAAATTAAAGCTCAACTTCACTCAAAAACCTCTTTTATTAAATCAATACACTGATCTTAAACAAATTATAGGCTTAGTTGAAAATAAAATGTCAGATAAGAAAAAAAGACGACAAAAACAATTTTAAACAATAATGTATATTTAACTAGTGGAATTACAGAACAGTGACTCCTGAATGCACGTATCAACATCCATCTTTAACTGGTATCCATTCAATTTTAATAGCAATTCAATCCTTTGAAGTGCTTTAGCCAGTCCAAAATCTGGTGTACTGTCTTCAGTCTGGTTTAAGTAGTTCAAGTGAGATGGACTGTAATAACAAAAGTTCTTGAGGGAAATTAAGAGCGTGATTGAAGGCAGATGGGAATTGGCGATCTCACATGACAGGGTTCATGGCTTCATACAGCCTCTGCACAGCGAGCTCCACCATTTCTCTGAGAGAATCATCTTCAGAATCAGCTTCTTCATACTCCACGGTCTGAACACAAACATAACGAAAACATTAGAATCCCAATATTTCAGTCTCCATAAAAGTAAAAGTCTGATACTTACTCGGGTTTCCAGGTTGATGTAGGCAGTCTTCTCATCTACACTTACAGCGAGACAGTTCTTGTCTTTAAAGTCGACACACTCCTCTCCAAACATGTCTCTGCAGATCGTGGCAGAAAAAGAATTTAGTTCATCATAAATATCACTGACGGTTAGCTGAGTGCTGTGAAGACGAACTTACTGGAACATTTTCAGTAATCTGCTCTGGTAAACATCCACATCCATCTTCTTTTCTTGGGGCTGAACAACTAAGATAAAGAAATAAAGAGGAAAACAAAAGATATTGGAGTAAATCAGACCAGTTTATTAAAATTTGCAAGCAAAAAGTGAACAAGAGAAGCAAAGATGAAAAAACAAAGGAAGAAAGAAAGAAAACAAGCAATAAGCTGTAATAAATAGAACGAAAGTAAAGAAAGAAGAAAAAAAGGAAGGATAAATATAATGCGGGAAATAAAAGAACGAGAAAAAGTAATAAAGAAACTAGAATTAAGGAAGGAAGAAAAAGTAAGCAAGCTAAAAGCAAGAAAGAAAGGAAGCAAGGTAAAAACAATAATAATGAAAAAGGAATAATAGACAGAAAGAAGGAAGGAATACAGATAAAGTGAGAAATACAGGAAGATAAAAATAATAAGGAAGTGAAGAAAGCAAGCAAGAAATGAAGAAATAGAAGAACTATTTCTCTCTATTACTCTTTGGGCTGTTCACCTTTCTGAGCTTTAGGGTTTGACTGCACCTCCAGCACCACTGTGGTCACGGCATCAGCGTACATGTCATTCAGAGGGTTGGCAAACCACTGGTGGAAGAACACCACAGACACACAATTAACAATACGAGTCACTTCTGTTGCCATAGTTACGCTGGTGCATCAATGACTGCTCTGCCGCCCTACCTCCAACACGACCAAGTTTTGATCATGAACCACTGTGATGCTGTTAAACACTCTTAGTGTGCTCTTCTCTGACGTCTCAATCTCCTCTACATCCCCTGTAACACACACACACACACACAATGAGCACCACATTTAAACAACCCACACACACAATACACACCCACCCACACACACACACCTGTCAGGTGGCGTAGCTGATTCAAAAGCAGGGGAAAGGGGCCAGTGAATGGAATGGCTTGAGTCTGTTTCACTGTGCTCATGGCCAGCTCAGTGTAATCTGCATCATTAAGAACAAAGAAAAAGTGTGAGAAGCAAACACACACAAACAAACACACAACTGAAACATCTGAACCGATCACAAACACCAACTCACTGGAGAGGTCAGAGGGGGAGAGGATGTGATAACTGAAGTTCTTTTTCACCAGGATGCCAGAGACCCTCTGACCTTGTGCACACTTCTTATCCGCAAGAGAGCCCATCACCTTCAAATACCACAGACAAAAACATTCAGTAACAAAATTATAAAAGGACAGTTCAAACCGTTAATGATTCATCACAGAAATGAAAGATTTATAATAAGACTTCACTGTGCAGTGTGTAAACCATTATAACAAGTTCTATTGTAAAAGACAGACAGACAGAAAAAGAACAAAAGAAAGAACAAAAAAAGACACAGATAGAAAGAAAATGACCACCAAAAGAAAGAGAGCAAAGACAGAAAAAAAGTCAAAGAACAAAAGAGAAAGAAAGAAAAAGAAAAGAAAAAACAGAAAGACAAAGACAGAACAAAAAGACAGAAAGAAAAATAACAAAAAGACAAAAAAGGAAAAAAGACAAGAAAGAAAGAAAGAAAGAAAGTGTAATCTGTTCTGGGTTTAATTTTTCTTAGTTCAGTTCAAACTAATCTTGCGAGTTTGAGAACAAAGACAGAAAAAAAGAAAAAAACAAAAGAAAGAAAAACAGAAAGACAAAGAAAAGGAACAAAAATAAAGATAAAGAAAAAAGAACAAAAAGACAGACAGAAAGAAAAAAGACAGAAAGAAAAATAACAAAAAACAAAAAAAAGGAAAAAAGAAAGAAAGAAAGAAAGAAAGTGTAATCTGTTCTGGGTTTAATTTTTCTTAGTTCAGTTCAAACTAATCTTGCGAGTCTGAGACATGTTTAAATACTGATTTCATATCAAATGAAAAACTCTTTTAGTCATCATCTGGATGGATCTAAAGAAGCACTTTACTTGGCAAATTATTAATAATTTGAATGATTTATTGACCATTGGTGAGAAAGACAGCCATTGCCCTCTTGGACACACCACTACAGCAACAGTCTCGAACTGTGAGGAAGAACATTGACCAATGAGAGCTGCAGTCTCACCTTAGCCAGTTTCTCTCCTCTGAAGTTCAGCGTGACGGCCTCAGTGTTACGAGGGTTGTGCACCTCGATGTGAACCTCATCGTTGTCCTCGTACTCTCGAATCAGGGCGGCTTTCAATCGAGCCATCTCATTCTGCTCTCCGTGAACCAGGATCTGAAACCCACAGTAACAACATGACACCTGATCTTCAACCTGACGACCATCACAGGACGCAACCACTCACCACATGAGGAGGTTTCAGAGCTCGGATGAACTCGCTGGTCTGCTGGTAATCCGTATGAGCAGAGAACGAGATGTAGTCCACGGACATCTTCAGGGGAAGCTTCTGTCCTGACATGGTGGCGATCTCCTCCGGCTCAGACATGATATGCTGCACAGAAAACAGTGTGAGGAGAGTTCGATCATGGCCAAAGAAAGCTGGCGCTGAAGAGCGGAGATTCACCTTGGCGAGAGTTCCTTCCACGCAATAACCGGCGATGATGACGCCATTTCTCTTGTCAGTGCACCAACTCTCGAAAAGCTCCCTGGAGAGACCGCTCTGCATCATACCAGGGGATGCCATCACCACACTAGGGCCGATGTCGTCGAAGTGGTCCATGCTCTGGAGGACAGCAAATTATGAAACTTTCATATAATAAAAATGGACAAAAGCAACAGTTTTGAAGATGCTTACCTTGAGATTGCTGATGTGCTTGAAGACAAAAGGGTTGTTAATGTTGATGGCCTTGCGGATCTTGTCGTTCATGGCGTTCACGTAGGTTTGGTAGACAGCCATGCACTTCTTAGCCAGGGAGGAGGCATAGTAGATAGGAATGTCATGGAGTTCAGGGTGATTCTGCCAGTATTCATCTGAAATAGAGGACGCGCTGAACGTCAGTGAGGCATTGTTGATGATGCGGCTGAGAGTCTACGCTAAACTGCTGAGGTTTACCTAGAATGAGCAGCAGTTCCTGGGCCCGACCCAAAGCAAACACAGGGATGAGACAGCGGCCCTCGCGGTTCACTATGTCATGGACTGTGTTACAGAAACGAGCCTCTCTCTCCTCTCTCTTCTCATGGATGTGTGTGCCATATGTGGACTCCTACAAGCACAAGAAGGATGGGAAGTGCTGTGGTTTTTTGTTTGAATATTATATACAGGTGCTTTTATGGGTTTGCAAACTTAAGTGTTTAGTTTTTCTGTGTATTAAATGGATTGAGTATTGTTTTTGCAATTTTTTGCTGTTTTTAAAATATTTTACACTGTAGGGCTACGCCTTCTTTTTTTTCAAAAGTGTAATTATGAATTAACATTACATTAGTGTTAACAGGATAAATATTGTATAATTTTCAACTATTATTGCACAAATAGTAAAAACATTAAATTATTATGATTATTTTATAATGTAAAATATATGTATATTTTTGTAATATGTATATATATCTTATTTAATTTATATATGTATATATATCATATGCATGTCTGTGTGTGTATATATATACATATATATGAATTAAATATATATATATACACACATACATACTGTATACACACACAAACTCTTTTGCGCTAGATGCAATTAATTGCATAGCACTAATAGATATATATATATAATAAATAATTTTTATTATTATAATATATATATATAATATATATATATATATATTTATTATGTACACACACACATTTATATATTATAAAAATTATTTGTTGTGAATAATTTTACAACAAACATCCACATTTCTTTATACAGAAATCCACATTGTTGAGCCCCAGAGAAAGAAATTATATTTCAAGCATAAACTATAGTACATACTGTGATGAGAATGTCTGGTTTTACGCTGGGGATCTCAGCTGCCATGAGATGTCTGTCTTCTTGACGGGAGAAATCTCCGGTGTACAGTAGCTGAAGAGAATGATCGTGATCATTAGCAGAAACTGTGTGAAGGTAAGAGATCAGGTCTGAATGAATAAACTACACCTACCTTCACTCCTGCAATCTCAATCATGAACATGGCTGCTCCCAAAACATGACCTGCATGGTAGCACCAAAACTTGATGCCCGCCACCTCTTTCACTTCATGGAAGTTGATGGTCTCGATCTTATCCATGCTTTCTTCTAAATCGGTCTCGGTGTACAGCATGTCATCCGCTGAGATGTTGCTACAGACACAAGGAAACAAGAGGATATGTTAGAGAACTGGATCTTTATAAAACTTTCAAAGAGCAAAGGTTTATAAAACATTTTCAGGAGATTTAGTGTACCTGACTTTCACATAGTCTGAAAGCAACCAGCGGTAAATGGCTTTGGTGGCATGAGTCATGAAAGTCCTCCCTTTGAAACTTGTCTTCTGTAGAAACCATGGCAAGGCTCCACAATGATCCAAGTGAAAACTGGCAGAGAAAAAGAGGTCAGCAGAATTTTGAATATCACTGACTTGATGTCTTTTGTTCAAAGGATGGGACTCACTGGCTGATGAGGAGCAGGTCAATCTCAGCTGGGTCTATCAAATCAATGTAAGGCAATGCATCCATGCCCTCCAATCCAGGGTGGATGCCACAGTCCAGCTGCAAAGACATGGCATGTCAGAAAACATCTGTCAAATCCATCAAAAGTAGGATAAACAACAAAACTGTGCTGCTTACCATGATTTTACGGCCCTTGAACTCTAGGATGATACAAGACCTGCCCACCTCTTGACCAGCTCCTCTGTTTAAAAAAAATCACAGTAAATATTAATCGTTACAGTAGGCCAAACTTTCTGAAAAGGTAAAATCAATCACACTTTGGTCCTGTTAGGTATGATGTTTATCATTTTAAAACTGTAAATCAAACATTCAGCAAAACATTTGGCGCGGAATAGAAGTTCAGAACAGTCTGGATGAATGAAGTGAACTCACAGTGGTCTAATGAGAAGCTGGTCGCTTTCTTCTGCAGGCACTGTTACATCCGCTTTACGTTTTGTAGCCATACTTGTGACGTTTTTTTTTTTCTCACACTTAATTAAAATGACTTATTCCATAATCATCGACACTTCCAATAATAAAAGACAACGATCATACGCAGCAGCACTGCGTGTGAACCTGTTGTGGACATGAGAGAAGTATTTCCGGTGTAGTCACGAGTCAAAATAAAAGTCTTCTGTGACAATAAAGAAACATAATAAAGCTTATATAAATCAGATAGTTATAATCATTTATCAAATTATACTGAAATGTATACTTAATTTTCTATAGCAAAAATAATAATAAAGGAAAACGAATTTAACCGAAGTAACGTTATTCCTTTCGAAGTAACACACACTATGGATTTATAATGACACTATTGATATTTTCAACGCATTAAACTGAAAAAGAAACAAGTGTCAGTTAAAAACGTGTATTTTTTTAACATTATTTAAACTTTTCGGCTTGGCTTGGCTTGGCTCTTCAGGTTTTCAGCGGTTATACGTTCGGGGGGTATGCGGTTCCGCCTACAAATCGTGTAATTTAAACTTCTACTGTACAGGTAGGATGGGTGAAGAAAGCCAGAAGTGTTGATCTGGTCAGCTGCGCGTGTGATGGAGCTGTTCAACTCTTCTGTTCAAAGACGAATTTACTTCTCATCGACTCTTTTTCTTATTAATCATTGTGGACTTAAAGCGAAACTTTTTAAATTGAATAGTACTTTAAGAAATGACTGATACGGACTGAGTTTGATTCGGGTTTTGTGCGGTCTTTTAGGAAAGTGGGACTTTAAACAAACTTTATGTTTCTTGTCTTGGATGTAGTGTTGATTTAAAGGGAATAATCATGCCTGATCAACTGACAGTTCCGGAGTTTATGGACATTACCAATGAGGACTATAAAGCGCCAACAACATCAGTGTTCTTCTCACGCATGGTCAGCTGTAGGAATACAGTTGCCACTTTGGAAGAGGTAAGACACCTTTTACAGTTGTCAGTTTATGCGAGTGACCGTACAATTGACTGACTAACGCGAAGTGCACAATACACAATTCTAAACTGCCTCTATTATAGAAATTCTGCGGTCTAACCCCGGATTACAGGTTTTCTGTAGTAGCTATGTACTATAAAATAACCAATTTTACAAAAGGAACCTGGAAAATGACTTCCTTGTAGCACTAAAGCACGTATCCCTGTTGGAAGTGAACCTCGCCCATGTTCAGCTTTCTCATGTAGCTTCTTATCGCAGTGTTATGAAATAAATGGACTAGTCTGTTATGTTGACACCACTCTTAACTTATTTAAGTCTCAAAGTCAGTAATACAGTGTTCACATAATGGTCCATGATCATACATTTAGCATAATAGTGATTTGTTATTATTGGATGTGGGAGATTGAATGCATATCCATTTAAAAAGGCCTGTGCCTGACTGAGGTAACAGAACAAATAGGTTAGGCCTACAGATATTACAGAAATGAGACAAATATAAAACTATGGTGCTGTGGAATAATTTATAAGACTAAATATTCACAAGGTCCCATTAATACTAATAAAGAAAGTGTCATTGGCATTGGTATGGACACATACCTAAAAATAGTTCCTTGGAGTTCCATATAAAAACTGTATGTAAGTAGCATGATTGTGCCATAAAACAATGTTATAAAAAGTAAAATAAATAATGAAGTTGAGAAAACTCAACAACTTAAGGGGTACTTTGAGGATACTCAACTTAACAGGAAAATTAGTGCCTGCATCAACTAAACCATTGTCTGGGCTTTCATCAAACATAAAACCTTTTTTTAAACACACTGTTTTTTACTAGTTGATCCAGTTTCACTAAGCTTAGATATTACATCAAGCTGAGCATTCACTTTACAGATTAGAGATGTATAACTTTTTATTCTTTGTCTTACTTGTGCATTGGTTTGTTGAGCTAACCGAAGAAGCTATGTGGAGTTACTTATTTACCAAAACAAGTTGTTCATACTCCTTGAAATGGAAGGAATTTTACTGAAGGGAACATTAATCACTCAAACGGTGATTAACAGAATACAATCAAAAACACAAAACAGAGCAAAAATAAATATTTATGTTATCATAAATCCTTTGACTAAAAACAGTCAAGTGATAAGTGATCAAACAGCAGCTTTTTAATTGGACCCTCACCACCAAACTTGACATTGTTATTGCTGTGTAATATTTTAAGTAGCTTGAGCTAAATTGGCTCTAATGGACTTTTATGTAATGCTGACATTTCATAGTTCAATCTTTTAAATTGATTTGGAAGCTGGATTTGTTTTGTAGCGTGCAAGGCTTGACCTGCATGATATTTATTAGTAATAGTCCACATGATGGCTAATGTAAATCATATTTTTTATATAACTAGAAGGTGTTGAACTTACACTGTAATAACACCATGTCATAACCTACCTGTGTTTTTTTTTTTACATCAGTAACTGATTCACATACATATTAACAGTTAGATCAGGTAGAATTAGAATAAAAAAAAAACTTTGTGTATTCACTTTGTATATTTATTTATACGAATGGAAGTAACTATGTGTTCTGTACTTACTAAAACAGTTCCTGTAAAGTTTTTCATTATAGTTTGAAGACTCTTCAACGGAAATATAAAAGAGCTTACATTGTGAGAATCGTTTTAAAACTCTGTCAGCCTGTTTTAATGGTTGAAAAGATCCAGCTGAACTTTACTGATGTCTAATATTAATCTAAAGAAACTCCACAGCTCTTCTTCTTTTATTGAGATACTGCATTCTGACTCCAAACTTGAACTTAGGAGATTGACCTCTGATGAAGGGGGAACCGGAACGTGTCAGTCATAACTGATGACAAAGAATCAGCATGTTGATTCTGACTCCTCTCAAATAAACCTCTTCATAAAGGAGATTCTTCTTTTTGAATGTGATTTTTTAAAAGCAGGCATGAGTAAAATTTACTGCCCTGGGCTCTTAGAGGTTCTGGCGTCTTCATGTGACTGGGATTCATACAGGGACTCTCTTTATGAGTTGTCCTTTGACACTACCCCATTCGCATTTAGCCTCAGTGGAGGAAGTAACTGAGGTAAACACGTGTTCATGGTTTATGTAAACTCTGGACCTGGATCTTGTGCAAATGTCTTTATCTATAAGTTTGCTCATCCATACAAAACAGCCACCACATGTTTAGACATACAGTGCTGTCACATCCTTGGGTTATTTAGTCAAACCCTTCACATATTTGGATATGCTTTTTCTTTGTAGCATGAGGGCTGCATACACCCACAGATGCCATAAAAATGGCAGTTAGTATACTTTTTCTGGTTGTTTCCGGTTTTTCCATCTCTGTGCGTGGCGTCCTGCTGAGACTTGCCTTTGATGAAAACCCCAGTGCAGCTAATTTCTCCCATCTCCTTCTCGCCTTTTCTGTTCTCTCTTTCTTTCCCTTCATCTTTTCTCATTCCTTAAGGCTAAGGCGGGATGGCTGCCCCACTTCTTGTCCCAGCTTGTCCCGCCTAGACTCTTTCTCGCACATACACGTCTACTCACCGTTTTTGTGTATGCAGCCCTGCTGGTCACTGTCTGTCTTTTGTGAACCAGTGAGCTCAGATTGAACTGTTCTGATACTCAAGGCCAGTTCCTGCAAAGCGTCGCACCTGAACAGACATCAGAACCTATATAGTAGTAGGGTACCATTGTTCTTATTGTATTCTATTGTAATTTTTATACTTCATTGTTATACTTAAATATTTTTAGGAAGATTTCGTACTTTATTTAGTATTATTGAAACACAGTTTTTTAGTTACATTCCCAAGGATTTTTTAAATTTGTTATTATTTCATGTATCTTTAAAAGTACCAAATGCATTATTTGCAGGTCATCTTGACAGTCTTTCCTATTTCTGTCCATTTTACTGAGCTTACACAATAAATGGACTGTTGATTTCTTTTAAAACTAAGAAATTTTACTTTAAAAAGGTATAATTAAATATGGAAACACTTTTTATTTTGATTGGACTGGAGTATGTTATAATATTGATACGTTTTAATTGAGTAAACAATTTATAGACGGTCTCCATATTTTCTCTGTATTTTAGATAAAATGTTCCCATTTTGAAAAAAAAAGACTGTACTTATTTGATAAAAAATTCAGTAATGTGAAATATTATTACTATTTAAAATAACTGTTTTATATTTTAATATATTTTACAATGAGATTTATTCCTATGATGGAATAGCAACATTTTCAGCAGCCAAATGTTTCTCATTATCAATGTTGAAATCAGTTGTGCTTTTTATGGAAACCATGATACATGGGATTTTTTTCAGGATTCTTTGATTAATAAATAGTTCAAAAGAACACAATTTATTTGAGATAGAAATCTTTTGTTACGTTAAAATTGTATTCACTGCCACTTTTAATCAATTTTAATGTGTATTCATTATTTCTATAAAAAATATCTTCTACTGATCCCAAATTTTTGAATGGTATTATATGTCATTGATGCTCTTTAAGTGATAGTGGGAAATGAGTGTTGTCAGCTTTGGCAGTCCCTCATCAGAAGGTTTTGTCTTGGTGTCTTTCCAGACATGACTCCTGCATAAACACAGATTTTAGGCCACAGTCTGTCTCCTTCACTCGTCTCTTTTTGTGCAAAATTCCCAGCGTGTGATTCAGCATGAGTGATGGTGGTTGGCTAAATTACAGGCTATCTGAGTATGTCTGGATGTAAAAGCTTTGTGTCGTGTGTGTGTATGTGTGAGGGAAGTATAAACCACACAGTACAAAACTGGGTTACAATTTTTTAGTTTTTATAGTTTGACCTACTTTATGCAGAACAAGTTATTGGTTGTGCTTATAGGCAATATTAATATGCACCATTTTAAAGTGTTGTAATACATTTTATGGCCTTTAAGTAAAGATGCATGCAGGCCCTTATTGATGCAGTTTATTCCTTATTGTGGAAATAAACCAATTTGTCTTATACATTTTTTTTTCTTCACATAATTATCATTCTGTTTGTCTTCAGAACCTCTCCATTCAGCATAAGAAAATCCCTTTTAGCATGTTTCATGTTGTTTTGCAGGCATTGGATTTGGACCGCAGTGTACTGCAAAAAATGAAGAAGTCAGTCAAGGCCATAAACAACTCTGGTCTGAGTGAGTATTACGAACAAAGCCTCTTCAAGGCAATCCTGCAAGGTTAGCACAAAAAAGCGTAATGCCTGCTAAACGCTGCGGTATGCAGGAAGGAGACCAGAGGTCATGTTTTTAATGTAATGAGAGGTGTCACTACGCTGAATAAACTGCTTTTCATTTAATGAGTCGACAGCTCATCGGCTAATCTTGTTTGTTTTTTGGATTGATCTATTTTTAGAGTTTACACTGAAAAAAAGCTGTTTTATAAAAGAAGTCATGGACAATTGCGAATCAGGTTTGATTCAGTTTGCGGCACTTCTGATTCATTTCTATGGTGAAAAGACGATCTCTGATTACAAAAATGACCGTTTGCCTCTGAGCTTTAATCAATAACCAATAACTTTGCACTGATAGGCTCACCAGTTTGGTTTAGAACCAGTTTAGAACGTATAGACAAGTGTGCAATTGTTCTGATAACCCCTATTTATCTGAACAATATCATATGATAACAATAGCCAGGACAAAGCTTTTGGTTTCATATACAGTGTGTGATTCAGGTCATTGTTACTCTAGTAGTGAGCAAGGTTTTGTGCTCTACCTCACACATTCCTGTCATTCTTACCAGGAACACCGATACCTGTTCTAGCAGGAACCTGCTAATTTCCCCTCTCTCTCTCTCTCTCTTTTCCTATTCACTTTGTTAGCGCACGTTACTTATCTTGTGGTGAACAATTACTCCGAACAAGTTAATCCACAGATTTTTTTTTGTTTGTCATTATAATTCAAATCTGAAAACTTTGAATTATAAAAATGACATCAGTTTGACAGTTTGGGCAGAACATCTTTCAGCCATTTCTGTCCAACTATCAGAAAACGAAACTAAAATGATTAAAAAAGGACTTTTTGTTTATTTAAGTAAAGCTGAAATAAAAATAAAATAAAAATATTAGATGAAAAACTTAAAAAAACTGAAAAAATATCAACTTAAAATGTTACATTTGCAACTAACTGAAAAGTTTTTTTAGTTGAAGTACTAAAATGACTGAAAAAGAAATAAAAATAAGTTAAGCACGAAAATCACAGATTTTAGGCCACAAGTCTGTCAACTTCATCTGGCTCTTTTTTGTGCAAAATCTGCAAAATGTGATTTAAGTATGAGTGATCAGTGGCTAAAGTTCTATGTATATATATCTAGAATATATAAACTAATACAAATGATAAAACAATTACTAAAACTTGAACTAAAATAAGATGAAAAGTAAAAAAAAAGGGCTAATTCAAATGAAATACACATACAGTATATAAATAATACTAGGATATCAAAATTAGGGCCCTGTGACGTGGTGTAAAATGGGTCAAATTATGAAAAGAGCTTGTCTTTCAGCACGTGCTTAATACATTTTTATTTAAAGCGCCTTATCAGGACACCCAAGGACACTGTACAACGCAGATAAAAAAAAAAAAAAAAAAAAAAAAAAAAAACACACATTAAAAACAAAACAATAAAATTGGCAAGACAGCATTGGTGTGATATGGGTCAGACGGAATATGATTGTCTAAACAACAGAGTTTTGAGTTTGGATTTGAAAACATTAAATGAGTCAAGGGTACGAAGATCTGGAGGGAGGGAATTCCAAAGATGGGGAGCAGAGCGACTAAAAGCCCTGCCCCCCATTGTGACAAAGCCGAGCAGGGGGAACAGAAAGCTGGCAGGTGTGAGAGGATCGGAGTGAACGAGTAGGGATGTTTTAAATGGAGAAGATCTGATATATATGAAGGAACCATGTTGTGAACTGCTTTGAAGGTGATGAGAAGTATTTTAAAAATGATCCTCTGTTTAACAGGAAGCCAGTGAAGCTGTTGCAAGATGGGAGTGATATGATGAGAAATGGGGGTCTGAGTAATTAGGCGTGCAGCAGAGTTCTGTAGGAGCTGCAGCTTACCGGAGCGACTTATTAGGGAGGCCAAACAGAAGTGAGTTGCAGTAATCTAACCGAGATGTGATGAGGCTGTGAACCAGGATGGCGGTGGTTTGGGAGTAAGAGAGGGACGGAGGCGGGCAATATTGCGCAGGTGGAAATAGGCTGACCGGGTGATGCTATTAATGTGAGAGTGGAAAGATAAAGTGCTGTCAAGGACGACACCCAGACTCTTAACCTGGGGAGAGGGAGGACAGTTGAGTTATCAATGGTAATGGAAACTTTATTAGCTTTGGAGAGGGTATGAGGTGTGCCCACCAGGAGGACTTCGGTTTTTGAGCTGTTCAGTTTGGAGAAAGTTAGAGGAAAACCAAGAATGAATTTCTTGG